AGTTCGGATTATAACGGTAGCTACGGACATTTGAAGTCATTTTACCAAACTATAGTTTTTAAATTAGTTAAACCCCCACCATGTGGGAATTTGGCCTATCATGTGTGAGTAAATTTCGGCCCAATCAGACTATTGGACCAATCTGATTTAAGAAAAAGGGACCAATCAGTTGGGGCGGCGGGGTTAGCAACCAATCAGGGAAAAAAGAAAAGAAAAGAGACCTCCCTCTTCGCGTCGGCCTGTGCACCCACAACCAGTTTGAACCCGGTTCAAATCCTGCGCTTCTGCCATTTTTTCCATTGATACACCACATCCACCACCAACAACCTCTTCCTCAACCTCCCCTCTACCATTCCCGCCCAAGATCGAAGGTTTTTTAGTCCAATTTCGTGTAGAATAGTGCCAGAGAACCCAAGGGTGCTCGACGACGATTCCCCCGTTCCGGTGAGTTACACCACCCATAACCACCCTTAATCAACTCTCTTGGACCCAAGAACAAGACTCAACCAGTTGTAGGGGCGTCGGAACACCGAGGAAGGAGAATCGGAGTTAACCCATTCTAGGGTTTCCCACGGGTTGAGTGAAATTGGAGCTTTTCCCGACCGAATTGGACTTCGACCCAAATATGAAAATTGCTCCCCTTGACTTGCTCTACATTTTTGTGAAATTTGGTAATTTTTTTGAAATAGTGAATTTTTCGGCAAGTCGGGGCGGCTGACCGCCACTTGCGGTGGCACGTGGGCCAAGGCATCCTTTAACCTTCCTAGGCTAAATTTGATACCCCAATTCCATATATGAAGTTCGATTGATGAATTTCCGTCGTTTGAGTATATTTTCGTTAAGGTCCGCCACTTGAATATTCTAACTAACAACGATCTGACTGTTGGATCGGCACCAAACTTTAATACGTAATAGTTCGTAATATTTGAGGACAATAAGAACTTGCGAATCGGGAATCCAATGTATGGATCTTCCCAAATTGGATTTCTAAGTTTGTAAAATAAAATGTCGACCGCCACTTGAAATTGCGATTGGCGGAGATCCGACCGTTGGATCGCGATGAGATTTTAATAAGTTGTTATATGAGCATAATAAGGACCTTAGGAGGTTATTGATCCAAAATCTGTTGGGCCGATCTTCTGGATCAAATTACGTAGGGTTGTGGACCTTACAGTTGATCGATGGGAGACTAAAATTAGTACTACGGGAGACTAAATGACGTCTAATGGGCTTACATTGGTTAGTAAGTGACTTTAAAATATGTGATATGGTTACTACCCTCCTATCATATTTAATATCCTTTGTGGATATCACATAACTTTATAAATGTGATTTTTATATATTTAGGAAAAAAAGAAAAAAAGAAAAGAAAAGAGACCTCCCTCTTCCCGTCGGCCGGTGCACCCACAACTAGTTTTGACCTGGTTCAAATCCGACGATTCCGCCATTTTTTCCGTCGATACACCACATCCACCACCTGCAACCTCTTCCACAACCTCCCCTCTACCATTCCCGCCCAAGATCAAAGGCTTTTAAGTCTAATTTCGTGTAGAACAGTGCAGGTGAACCCAGGGGTGCTCGACGGCGATTCCGCTGTTCCGCCGAGTTACACCACACATCACCACCGTTAATCAACTCCTCTTGGACCCAAGAACAAGACCCATCTAGTTGTAAGGGCGTCGAAACACCGAGGAAGGAGAATCGAAGTCAACCCATTTTAGGGTTCCGGCGGGTTTGAGTGAAATTGGAGCTTTACCAGACCGAATTGGATTTCGGCCTAGGTATGAAAATTGCTCCCCTTGAATTGCTCTACATTTCTGTGAAATTTGGTAATTTTTTAAATAGTGAATTTTCCGGCAAGTCGGGGCGGCCGACCACCACCTTTGGTGGCGCTTGGGCCGAGGCACCCCATGACCTTCCTAGGCTAAATTTGATACCTCAATTCTATATGTAAAGTCTGATTGATGAATTTCCGTCGTTTGACTATATTTTCATTAAGGTCCGCCACTTGGATATTCTAAATAACGACGATCCGACTGTTGGATCGGCACCAAACTTTAATACATAATAGTTCGTAATATTTGAGGACAATAGGAACTTGCGGATCAGGAATCCGACGTATGGATCTTCCCGAATTGGATTTCTAAGTTTGTAAAACAAAATGTCGACCGCCACTTGAAATTGCGATTGGCAAAGATTCAACTGTTGGATCGCGTTGAAATTTTAATATGTTGTTATATAAGCATAATGAGGAGAGGTTACGGATCCGAAATCCGATGTGCGGATCTTCCGAATCAAATTACGTAGGGTTGTGGACCCTACTGTTGATCGATGGTTGAATTTTGGTCAACATGTCTCGAAACGTTCTAAATACTAAAATTAGTACTACAGGAGACTAAATGAAGTCTAATGGGCTTACATTGGTTAGTAAGTGACTTTAAAATATGTGATATGGTTACTACCCTGCTATCGTATTTAATATCCTTTGTGGATATCATATAACTTTATAAATGTGATTTCTAATGAAATGTGATTTTTATATATTTAGCCATGGACCTATGTTTACTAAACATGATTTGGTCTACATACTGATGATGATTGTGATACGTGATTTGACGTGCATATTTACACTGTGGTTGATTTGCATAATTGGTATGATATGATGAAATATGAGGGCTAGTAGTGGACCGTTAACCTGTTGTCATGGGGTTTGTTGCTTCAAAGCATGTTTCACATCTCGTTTCATTGTTTTGTTTCATTTCGTTGAGCCATTCTAAATTTAATACTTGTGCTTTGTTTCCATTTCTTGTTTCGTTGAGCTTTCGTAATTTGAGCACTTGGTTCATGTCTTGTTTCTTTGAGCCGTTGATTTGTTCATTGACCCTCCGCTTGGTTCCGTTGAGTGATCTAAAATTGGGTTTCCGCTGTGATTCCATTGAGTGATGTTCCAGAATCTCTTCTACTCCGCGATTCCGTTAAGTGATGATCTGGAATCATATGCACTTGGATTCCGTTGAGTGATGGTCTGGAATCCCTTCTACTTCGCGATACCATTGAGTGATGGTCCGGAATCCCTTCTACTGCAATTCTGTTGAGTGATGGTCCGAAATCGTATCCTAGTTTGGATTCCTTAGAGAGGTCCAGAACCCCTTTTGGTGTCTTGGTTTCGTTGATTGGTGCGGAACTCGATCTTGATGGATTTCGTTGAGTGGTTTGAAATCGCATCATTTGACTTGTTGGTTCTTTGGATTTGATATCAGCTTCAGAGATGTAGGCTTCGGCTGAACTGTGTCGCTCTGGCCCTGCATTTTGGTATATGATATGTGTTATTGATTGATGTGATTGTGGAATAATGTTGGTTGTGATGGTTGTCATTATGATTAGACTTATTAACAATTGTGGCTAGAGGATAACATTGTGCTTCGTTGACTGTTTTTTGAGATGTTGCATACTATGAATTGCGGTATTATGTGAAACATAGTGATTTATATAAAGGATGAATTGGAAAGCATATGTGTGGGAATAGCACACTTGCGTGCCTGACAAGATGATAATTGTGCTTGGCTTATGGTTGATGTGTAATGTGGTACCCTATGTTTTCCGCTAGAAGTATTTTACGAAAAGATTAGAGTATGACAATTGACGAACTACGAATGACTTGATCCCTATTTAGGGTACGTAGGCAGTCTAACAATAAGGTTAGATACAGCCATAAAGTGTACAAAAAATTACTATGCGAATCAATGCTCGAGTTGTGCTTCGCCATATCCCGGAGGCAGGGTATGTTAGACATACGGATACTTGATGATGTCAATGTGTCGATCTGGGATGTATGTCGGGATCGGGGCGTGACAATATAATTTAAATTGATGGTCTTCTTAGCATTACCCAAAAAGAAGTGTAGATATGTGAGGTAAACAAAAATGGGAGCATTTTTGCTCACTACCATAAATCTTTTTAAAAAAAAAAAAACGTTATTATCTATACTAAAAGGGTGAGGGAGTAGGTTAAATATCACAATGGGCTAACAACCTCCATAAATCTTGTTGTACGCTCACCATACACCTAAGCATCTGCCATGTGTCTTTTATTTAACCTTGGTTAATTTTTTACAACATTGAAAAAGTAACATTTAACGTAAAAATTAACTAGAGTTAGTTAAAAGAACACATGAACAATAATTAGATGTATGATAAGTATACATCATATGACTGTGAGCAAAAATGCTCCCGTTAATACCATCTAGTAAGACTAACAATACACGTGGACTAAGAAAGCTCAGATTGACATAAGTGCCCTTCAACTACCCGCGGGAAGTAAAGCTCAAACTCACACCCACATCAAATGAGGCAAACATGATCTCGAAAACTTCTCCCATTAAAGAAGGCACATGTGTTGGACTTGCGTATTAGACACAAGCGCGTTATGTCACTCACGAGTTATTTAACTTGCAATGCATGCTTCCAAAGCTATGGTCTCCAATGCTGTAACGAACCTTTCTTATTTGATATTCTTAATGGTGTTACTGGAACGTCCTTCCAATTATTTTTGAAAAAGTATTGTTATTGTTAGTCTAAAAATATCATCTTACAAACAATATTTTGTATACAAATTTTTCTTAATATGGCTTTTTAGAATTTCAAATAACAAACTCATTTTCAAGATACTCACCTACGGACAGAGATCCTCTTCGGATTTCACTATTTGGAGTCCAAGGACCAGCAATGTGGATCACTTAAATTGAATCCGATAGCTCTCATTAACTCATTCTGATGGTCCATCTCACACAAATCAATGACTCTGATCTCATTTTTACACAAACCAAGAGCCCGGATTTCCTGATCCTTAAACTTCTGACAATAAAGTCCAAAAAAGGAATATAATAATTTACCATGCGTATGAACCACTGGATAATTAAAAATGTATATGGATAGAAACGTGAAACGTCGACATTTGTTTTGTACCTCAACGATATAAAGGAGATTAAAAAATGCAACTAGGATCCAACATGATAATTTGTTTATGACATTGGTGTAATTTACATAACGGATGGCACGGGAGCTTGTGGCTCGACAGCACACGAATCTCTCATTTTTTTTCTCGTTCACATTCTCTGGTGTCTTTTTCTTTCAATTAATTATGCAGGTGCTATTGTATGACTGAGTACGATGCTTTTTGTCATACGCCCTTTCAACGACCAAAAAACATTCTGCTTGGTGATGAAATTTAGGTTTTATGAGATTCCAAACGACCCGAAAACTTGAGCGCACTCTCACACGAAGCACCAACGGCAAACCCTTCCCGGACTCGAGCATGTCGTCCATGCTTCTTCCGGCACCATACATAGGCTTATTCCTTGTTCCAACATATAACTTGAACTTTGATGACCCACTCTCAGCATATAGCTTTGGTCCCTGAAAATTTTGAATAACGACTGATTGCCCGGAACAAATTGATGTATCATCAATGCAATATGAGTGTGTACAAAGAAAATTTTTCTACTGTTAATCTAAACCACACATTTAGACACGAGTATTTCCAAAAGTGCTTATATTTATAGACCGGCAATTTAAACAAACACAAATGTAACAAAATTAAGAAGTGAACTTTACACCTGATTGAACATATATATATCTACTTACATGTGATTGTGCAAAAGGTAGCCGTCCGAAGCACATTTCCATTGTTGGAGGACGAATGTGGAGGCCGAAGAGCTTAGACTTGTTCTCTATTATGAGATTTATAGAACAATTGCTGGTAAGGAACTTAGTCGTGACACCCGAGCCATCCACTCCTTCCCCAAGCCCAAATTGGCCAATTCCTGCCATCTGCAGTTTCCAGAATTTACAATTTTTTTACAGTCTTAAAGATGTCAGATGAAAATTAAAAATGTTATTTACCTATTCAGTTTTACATCTTTGCCTTGATGATGCTTTTTGAATTTGTAAGCTTGTATTAATTATCTATTGACTTTTATGACTTTAATCATTTTAAGGAGAAAATATCAATCAGAATTCTTGAGTTCTCCGTTCAATTCTTGTGAATGTTATGAATAAATACAAACATTTTTATTTTTTTGTTGATTTAGTTCATTAGATGCACTTAATTGGTTTTTTTTGTGGCTTTAATCGTTTTGCTTGGGAGTTGGGAATAAGCTTTGCTTTCCCATTGTATTTAGAACATTACGATTTTTTCTTTTGTGAGCATCATGAACATTAGTTGAAGTTATTAACGGTGGCAGATTTTTGAGTCTGTTTGGGCCTGAAATTTACGTTTCGGCCGATCAGTATTTGGACTCAATATTACGTTATTGGTGATCGCACCATGCAATCGAGACCGTAAAATGAACAGAGTTTAAGACTATTAGAAATGTACAATGAATTAGTTATTGTGGGATATTATTGCGATTTTTAATCATGATAAATAAATTTTTTATGCAAGATAAAAGGGGTTTCGCGTAGTACAGTTCAAATCAAATTAGCATGGGATTTTTACGAAGGTGGATTGAATTGGAATCATGGTGCACGCGGTCTTCAATGGATGCTAGTGGGATTGCGTGGGCTTATCCTTAGCCAAACTAATTAATCATGGATGCTAATGGGATTGCATGGCTTATCCTCAGCCAAACTTCAATTCGGTCTTATCCTTAGCCTGGATTGTAATCATAGATGCTAATTGAATAGTTTGTTTCAATGGTGTATAAGAGTAATTATTTGGCTAAGGATGGTGAATGCTTATCAGGAGAAGCTCCGTGGCTGAGAAGTCTTTCTATAAATAGAATGGTTATGCACCATGACAAGCCCCTTGAACTCAACAATCAAACTATTCAGACGCTCTATGCGAATTTTTTTTTCAAACGCTCTACGCGAAATCTTCTCGCAACTTTGAGATAAATACTAATTATCCTAACCTTCATATTCAGTTCGTCAGAACATCATTGGGTTGACAAACATCACTAGAGCAATAAAACTAATCGCCCTCGAAGTACCTTCAGTTCGATGCAACAACACTAGTCAGTCGGTTATCTATACAAGTCTCAAGTATCGAAGAATCTTCAATTCCTTTGCCAAAAAAGGTCACTTCATTAACTTTCCAGCGAAGTGAAGTGTTATATGATTGGTTACTCTTAGGTGCACTTTGTAGTTCGACACTCAGGTGGCTGAATATTTGCCTCTATAGCCTGATACTGATTCAGCGCACTTATATTCTCACGACCGTAGTCGCTCAGCTTCAGAAGTTAGTATGCAACACCACATCTATTTTACTCGCCCGACTGAACTCGGTTGCAAGTTGGCATGCCTACTTTCACAAAAAAGACGTCGTTAATTTATAGTTACTCGGCATATGTGCTACGTAAGTTTTGTATTTTTAAGGTCACGAGTCTTTAACAATATTCAGGGAGACGTTCGGGGTCAATTAATTAGAAGCCCAAGTTATGAGGTTATGTTCAGTTGGTTACACACTGGACAAAGATTCATAGTGGCTTGCATATAAATTTGTTATCAAAGTGTGAGAATACATGGATGTGCTTTATGTTTTAATATTAACCTTTTATATCAACTCTAGTGTTACATTTAGTATGGGAAAACGAATTCATGGAAAATGATTCCCCATGTCTTTACTTGGGAGAAAGTAAATTCGAATTTTTTTTTTCCTACGTTTAGTAGGTAGGTAGAAAATGCCAATTTTTTGGTATAAAATTAGCATTTTAAATTGCCAAACGATCGAGGACATATTTGCCATAAAATGGTAGCAGTCAATTTTTTTTTTTTTTTCATGGGGAAGGAAAGTGAATACTAAGGTGAGCGAAGGTTGCACTTTCCCCTATTTTCCTATGGGAGAAAATCATATCCCAAACATGAACTTGCCAAACATCAGAATTGGGAACACTCTCTCATTCCCAAGTTCTCTTTCCTCCACATCAAACGTAGCCTACGGGCGAGTCATTATGCATTTCTTGATCATGTATTCACCAAGAGAATATTTTTGCAATATGTGAGCCATTTTAGGTGATTCAAGTTTAATTGTTTTGTTTTATTTATTTATTTTTTTTTTTGTGATTCAAGTTTATTTGTTTTGTTTTTTTTTAATTATTTTTTGTGATTCAAGTTTATTTATTTTTTTTTACTTATAAGTAATAAGATAATTTACACTAAATTCATCTAAATTAAGGAAAACAAGATTCACTTGTGCAAAAAGGGAAGGAAAATGTTAGAAACACTATTTTTTTAGACCATATTTTGTAGACCACGTGATGCGGTTGATGGTTGAATTTTTTCTTCATTGACTTAAAGTGGTGTACACACACTACTCTAGCTAACTTAGCCAAGTCTATGTCTACCTTTGTGCTTTGAGTCTCATGATTGTTCTTCTTCCTTGTTCGGCCTGTTTCCAACCTAATCACATTTCTTTTTCTTCATACGCAACAGTACAACTTTAAGGTAGAAAAGATAACCTGATCTTACAAAGGGCTAATTTCGTTTATATTTTCAATATTAGGAACTAATTAGTTAACTAAAACACCTGCATATAGCCATATAGGCTAATATTTTAAATTCTTTTTTATTTAGGTTTAGGTAGAAGTTAAAAAATCAAACAAGAAGTAAACTACCTGTATATAAGCTAATATTTTGTGTTAGAATACTTTTGTGATCGTACGTACACTTCATAGTTCATCATTAGGTATTATATATTCTCTTCGCCATAATTATATATATGTCCTATATTACCACCATAATAATATGTCGCAAGCATGCTACTAGGCCAATTGCAAAACCATCATGCCATATATATTATGGTTAATCTTTTATAATAGATAAGATAGCTAGAATCAATATATACGCATAGTTTTGAAACTAAAATGAGTACTTTTTTTTTTGAGAGATTGTTGAATATTTGAACGTACCTGAATAGACACTTTGGGTGGTGGGGGCTTTGTAGCAACGTAAAACACAAGCAGTGCAATACACAAACTCAACACAGCCCTCCAACTTATTTGCAAAAATATCCATGCAAACGAATCAGAATTTCGATATGAACAATTCCTCTTCCACCACCCCGATCTGTTCTCCAGCCCATAACAATACTCCTCCTCATCATCTTCATTGTCACCGTGATCATCACCGCCATTGCCACAACCACCACCTTTGACGACAATAACCAAACGGTTTTTGCAATTATCGGTCCCTGTGCCGTTACTACGTGCATCAAAGGAGATCCTTTTTTGGTGCTGGAATGAGTGACTGGATCCACGAGAGGACGAGTAGCGTGATAGAGTGGAGCGAGAGGCCTCTTCGTGGAGAGTCCGGTTTGCTGGATTGGGTCGTGTTGGGGAGTGAAATTCGGATTCCAGGATGGTGTTTCGAATATCCGCGCTGTTGGAATGGGAGATGGCGGATGGGCTTTGCACGTAGTATGGACAAGGGTATGAATGAAATAGAGCTTCTTCTTCCTGATCATGCTCCATAAATAATATCTAGAGAGAGAGAGATGTGATTTGGAGCTCTAACCCTTGACATGGGAATGGGGTTTTTGAAGGGTTTTTAAACTGCAGAGAGAGAGAGAGAGAGAGAGAGAGAAGTTGCTTTCTTTTGTGGTGTGGGGTTTGGCTTGCCAAGTAGGCTAGGCTATAAAGAATGCTTCGCTTTGTAGGAAAGACTGAAACCATTGAGTACAATCAGTAATCAAACAATTTTTAATTATTACAAACAACAAAATAATAATAATCATCATCACATTTAGTTTCTATTCTCTTTTAAGAACGTTACTTCATTTAACTCTTCAACTTATTGGGTCTTGGGTTCATACCCTCATTCTCTTAATATATAAATATAGTTTAAAATAAGAATATCGTTTGTATTAAACACAAGCATTACTTCATTGTACCTCTATACAACCCATGCATGGTCATAAAAAATTACAACTCAACCAACTTGAAAATTAATTTCTCAGACGATCTCCAATATAAAAAACAAAACCTGTAAGTTATAACTTATATTTGACTTCAAATGTGGTGGTGCAAGTTGTAATTTCAATGCATGCATAATCAAATTTGACTTTTAACTTTTTAATTTTTCTGCATTAGAGAGCGATTAAGTCAATGTTTAACTCGAAAGATTAAGTCAATGTTTAAATCGAAAGTTACATTCAAAGTCAAACAAGACTTTGCATACAAAACCGGGGTCATCTATGATTCCAACTTTTTCCATACATAGTAGACATATTAAGTCAAATTGAGCCATCCCTCACCACAGATTAAATACTCCAATGGCTTATCATTTCAATCATGAAAATTTTAAATTTAAGGTATGTCTTATAACTGTTTCATTTTAAATTTAAAGTACCTATATCAATGTACATTGGATTGAAGTGCCTAAAATATCAAGGCCCCCATTTTAGTAGCTCGCCCCAAGCTCCTAAATCTCGGGGCCGACCTTGTTTTGGCCTTAGGATCAAATAGTACATCAAAGCAGAGTTGATAGCCCCAAAGAATACATCTATGGGCTGGAGTTCAAATGTAGATTGAAGTTCTAAACTTTTGCTCGTTTCCACATACCAATTGTTTTAACATAGCCTTAATGGGTTATATGTTACCCGACAACTATGCTTACAGATAACTATTTTTTTATTTTTTCTGAAAATATTACTTTTGATACTTTTAAATATCAATTTATTTTTTCATAAAAAAAAAACAATTTCTATCTTTTTAATTACTTTTGATAGTTTCGATTAATCCGTCATCGAAAGCTATTCAACCTCGACTAACTCTAATTACTGTCATGTCAAAAAGAAAGAGGAAAAACTTCCATTTAATTAAATTAATTCGATGTCCCTACCTAAGCAAATAAAATCTGCTGAATGATGAAAAGGCATAACAGCGTGATAACACATAATTATTTGTTTTGAGCCACGCTAATGAGCCTGCCCGTGCTCACTGGTCACTGGAGCCAATTCTCTATGCATTTCGAATCCAATGCGAAAGTTACGGGATAACCTTTTGATCAAGTCCAAGTCTTTGCTTTCCACCGAATTCTTCTTTAATTCAACAACAGTAAAAGGCATGAGAACATGCGTTAATTCATACTTCCTCGACGACACGTCCCTGTGTGTTGTATTGGAAAAAAGGCAGTACCTGTATACCATTGGTTGACCCTATCCAGGTGTGAGAATGCCATAGCTAGTCACAAATCACCAACTCTTATTCTGGGATTAAGTTCATCCACTCCCAAGTATTTCCTCTCCCTCCTCAATCCTCATCAATTAAACAAGTGTAAGTCTGCGGTACCTTTTAATATAAAAAAAAACAGCGGTATCATTTAATTTGAACGTTGATAGTGTAATGCAATTATGTTTTTACAGTAGATTGATGTTTACAACGTAAAAGCCAACCTTATTATAGTAATATTAACCTTATTCGGTGTAATTTTTTTTCCTCAAATGATGGAATTTTATTTGTTACTTATGAAAATGTTTATATCTTTGATCTGCAAGAATATTAAATAACCATTTGGGGAAAAGCACACCCGTTTATGAACACCATTATTTCTACTAATAAAGGAACATTATGATTATTATGTAACCTTTGAGTGTAAATTGGAACGAATATATAGTGTTACATTACCTTTCCTGTAATTCACATGTTAAATGTTAACATTATGTTGTAACTCTGTTATACATTAAGGAAGGGAGGTCATAACCTGTCTATATTGTAACAAGACGTCCATGGTGCAATCAACATTGCTAGCGTAATACAGTCCCGTCTAAGTATAATAACCTACATTGACACTGTAAAAGGACTTTCACAATATAACCTCCAACATCATTATGTGTTATTAACTATATATAATCTTAATGTAATATTATTACATTGTAAAAATAATAATGATCCTCTAAACATGATTGCATGACACTGCCAATGTTCCCCCAACCCCCTCCCTCAACCCAAGAATTTCCCTTTATATATTTTAATGTAATAATGGTCCTCTAATTTTCTGTTTCTTTAACAAAACAGAAGAAATAAAATATAAAAGTTCCCATAGGCAGTACTCATGAGAGTAGGAGAAAGGGAAGAAAAATGGTAGTTAAATAGTGAATAGACGTATATTACTTTCATTCAAAGGGAAACGATGGATTGAGGTAGAAGGTTGGCCATATATGGTAATGATGATTGTAGAATTAAAGTTTGATAACATATTTGAGTTTGACATAGATATACGAATCCAATCCAATATGCGGGTAGTTTTTGCTTTTGCACCACGACAGTGATAATTAAATTAAGTACAACAATCTTATTAAATTAAGTACAACAATCTTATAAGACATTAGCTCATCTACCATGACAATTTTACTACGGAATATAGAAAATGAGATTTTTTATCACATTCATATTCCTAATAGGCACAATGCCCATGCACGGACATCAACCGTGGTAGATTTGTTTTTGTCTCATAGTCTGCAAATGAGAATTATGACACAATCACATTTCAAAACAACTAAACAAACCATTTGTTCATCACAAGTTATAGGCATTCATACATCATATAAATTCAGATTTTATTCATCAAACACGGAGGATTCGGTCCCAGAAAAACATTCTGAGTGAAACATCGAGGAACTGTGAAAAATCGAGGGATTAATTAGCTATAGTCTAGGCCACTAAGAAAACTAAGCTTCTATTACCATTCTATACCTTCTCCGTGCTACCTTAAGTCTTCCAAGCAGTTTCCACAGCTCTTCACAGCCGGCACCTCAACTCCTCGAACTTATCGTGGCACCGGGCCACGCTTCTCAATGTATTGACTAGACAAATAGTAGTGAGAACTCAATTAGCAAGTGCAGGGTGCAGTGACCTATTCCCACAAGGATATGCAGTTAAAAATGACAGAACAAACGAAATATAACTATTAACATTATTTTATTAATGAAAAATAAGAAAACAGGATACCTAAAACAGGCTTGGCCCAACAAACCAAACACTAGGAAAACTAAAGGCTATTATTTCTTCCAACATAGTCATCAACACAATGTATGCAATGCCCATTCGGTACACTTGAATCATACAATCTCTAATCCATCATTGTTGCAGCAACATGAAGTCCAAGGCAATATCCATATATACTGCTCAACTAACCTAGAAAAAATTACATCCTAAAGATAGTTATATTGAGCTTGTATGAGAAAAAAAACACGTCTCAAATATATAATTTGTTCAAGGAAAATCAAACTTAAGCTACTTAATATTAAATTAAAAAGGTTACCTTTAATATCATCCTTATTAATTCTTTAGTAATATTAAGTAAGTCACTACTTGATCAAGCCTAGGATATCAAACTACTAAGGCAGAACATAAAAGACTCCCTTCAAGGCTGATGAGTAAAGAGCTTCTTAGAATAATCAACGATGGTTAGCCTCTCATCCTTACCACTTATATATGAATTAATTTGTAACACCCATAGTCAAGAGCTGCTTAGTCCACCCGTAACAATAAAGAACACGTTACAATTTAGCTTAAATTAAATATATAAATTCAAAATAAATATGAGAGGGAGGTTTTTGGTATTTCAATCTAATGGTATTTCTTTCGACTGATGAGATGGAGGTTTTAGGTTTGGCGAGTTCGATACAAAATTATTATGGATGACCAATTGTGTAGGCTAATCCAAACCTCACTCCTTTAATGCAGAATTTCGTTGTATATAAAAAAGTAAAAATAGATAAGAGAGAGGCAGAGAACATTGAATATATTGAATCTACTTTGCTCCTTAGCAACGTTTGTTTACATAATGCGATTACATCCATCTCATCTTTCACTACCAACTTCCACCTCCAAATTTTTATTATCTTGTATACAAAACAGTCCTCTTATTCTATTCTCTACTTACATCACTATTGACATTTCTGATGTCTAAAGGAACAATATTATTTCATATATGCACTAAAGGTTTATTTGGCCAAGTAAACAAGAGCCAAAAAATTGTTTTGCAAATGCCTTAGCTATATACGGATTTACGTAGCTCTGCTCTCTTCTTTAAGAGAGAAAGGAGGAAGTATCCAGCATGAAACCCTCAAAATCCCATTCTCCCACTCTTACGTTTTCTCCTTGCCCTCCATTAATATTTCCAAATCCAAACATGTCCTCCTCTTCATCTACTTTAAACCCGATCAGTTCCGTGTTATTAAAGCAACTATTATGGAAGTGGTAGTTGTTAATACTACTATTCTTGTTGCTTATATTGTCAGCTACTAATTGACCATTCAGATTATTCTTAATGCTTCTGCTTTCGAGTGGAGGAAGAAAAAGGTCACCTTCTAACCCCATTTTATGACCACCCTCTAAGTTTCCATAATCCCCATAATGCCCCTGATTATCTCCAATGTTTGGTAAGTGTGGGAAACATGTAGGATTTACAACGACGTCGTCTGCATGGGCCATGTCATAACGATTGTCGAGCATATAGAAGGGATTGAATAAGGTGTTGCTGATAACGGCCATGGCTTGCATGGATGTGGATGATGAGGATGATGAGTCCATGTTGTACATGGTCATCATGTCATGGTCATGCATAGGCATAAACGTTCCTCCAACGACAGGATCTCTGGGATCAGAGGAATCACTATCGTTTGGTGACGATGTGGACGTGGACATATTGTTATTTTTCAACCTTTTCTTCAAGGCTGAATTCCAAAAATTCTTTATTTCATTGTCCGTTCGTCCTGGAAGACGTGCAGCAATTTGTGACCACCTAAATTCATCACAAGAAAAACAAATATAACCTAAATTAATCACAAGAAAAACAAATATAACTGATTAATTAAGACATAATAAAAACAGACAAAGAAAAGTTAAGACCGATACAACACTTCATCACATTTTGTTTTTTGTTTTCATCATTTGAAAAAGAAAGCACCACTAAATCAATAGCTAATTGGTATGCACGTCGTTAATTTCAGTTTGTTTATATACACACATCAATTCTGAACCATATATATGTGCACGACTAAAACAAAATGCATGACTTGAAATGCCATGGATGTTTAGTTGCTTAAGCACTTATGCGATATAGTATGTGAGTGTGTGTGCACACTATTTGCCCAATTGAGCTCAGAAAGAAACACGGTAGAAAACAAACAAAATACTTAGGTTTAGGATTACTTTCAAGGGTTAAACATGCATGCACCCTATGGTGAAGTATATATTAATTATAATGGTACCCTAAAATCTACATGCACACAATAGTGCAAGTTTATATCCGCATCCGTTGAAACTGGCAAAAACACCCTCAGGCATCTCTTTTTTTTCCTCATCCAGTGTGCATGCAGTTTGGCCGTCAGAATTTAATTAAACCCTACAATACACAATGTGCATTTACATATATGTGCGCATTATAAGATATGTGGTTCAATATCCTAGTGGATAGAGTGTTGAGTTTCCACTCATGCGTCATGGATTTGAAACTTTCTCCTCCCTAAATTATTGTAATAGTTTAAACCCTCTCCCTTTCCTTCATAATAAAAATAAATAAATGTGTGCGCATTGAAGTATAATGTTGTATCATGTAAACTTAATTATTACTTAAATGTTTTGTACAGAAGTGAAGTCTAACCGTTGGAAATAAAACATTACAACCCTAGATGCTGAAAAAAATTCAAATTATTATTTTCTCTGAAAAATATATCCTCTGTAAGTTGGCATACCAATGGAAATAATTCTAAAAACCAAAACTAAACAATTGTCTGACTTAAAATATTTTCAAATTACAGGTGTTTAATATGTAATATTTGTGCTTATAAACATTACAACCGAGAGAATGAGAGAGAGTACCTATTGCCAAGAATTGAATGGAAATGGATGATAAGCTCTTCCTCTTGGGGTGAAAAGGCACCACGCTTGAGGTCAGGCCTCAAGTAATTGATCCAACGAAGACGACAACTCTTTCCACATCTTTGGAGACCAGCATTTCTTGCAACGTCACTCCAACAGCCTTGTCCATTGGTTAGCATGTACATCATCAGCTTCTCATCTTCCTCTGGTGACCACAACCCCTTCCTAAGCTTGCTCATCATCATCTTCTTCTTGTTAATAGTTTTCGCTCCGTCGACATCGTCTTTCCCAATAGACTCCGGCTTTCTCATTGTAATTGCAAGCGGACTTGTTTTCTTGGGGTTTTTTTGGTTAAAGTAGTTAATGTGATGGATGGAGATCTACAAGAATGATATATAAGATGATGGGATGTCTTCATGGGGTGGCAATGGTGATGATGATGGTGATGGTTGTGGGGTTTGCTTAAAATATGCATATCAAAATTTGAGAGAGAGATAGAGAGATATAATATGTTTGTTGGTCGATGGGTGGAGTGGAAAACGGATTGGAGGGGGACCTCCATGGCTCCATTCCCATATGAGAGAGAGAGAGAGAGAGAGAGAGAGAGATTATGTGAAGTGGAAGCAAAAAATTTAGATGTCTAGTATACAAAAGATGATATAGGATTACCTTGTGAGTGAAGAAAAATGAATCGAAAAAGACCATAAAGAGTCAAAGACAAGAAGAAAAACCCTCTCCCTCTATCAACATACACGTGAAATTGAAGTTTATATGCAGAGAGAGAGAGAGAGTACAAGAGTACTCTTTGTACACTAGGCAAAGTGTTGCACTTTTGACACTGGTAATTTGTAGTTTACTTAATTTTTTTTGTGTGATGGTTATGGATTGTTTAAGTGGTTGCATGAAACTTATTGAGGATAACTCAATCATGTCAATTAAACATGCTTTTGAAGCAAACTCTCACTTTCGGATCAAATCAATTACAGTTGTTCTCTGTTTGGTCAAAATTATGCATTTTCAATCTCATATTAGAAGTTAAGGTTTCGCAGCTAGCAAATTCAATTAAAATTATTAAACATGATATGTCTACAACCCCAAGTACTACTGGAATGTAACAAAACAACACATTGTTCAAGTAGTTTCCATAGCCAGATTCAAAGTAAATGACAGCTTCAAAACCTGCGACCAAAAAAGAAAGCTTAAACCCTAACACAAGAAATCAAACCAAATGAAGAAAAAGGAGAGAAGAAAAAAGATAGGTTGTTATGCAGCATAGTGTAGAGATGGTTTCACCAGATATAGATAATTCATGATCTTACTTTCATTTTTCGTTTTATAGCTGAAGGATTTTGATTGGACATGCCATCAATGTTCTGCAACATTTGCACAGCGTTTGCATAAATAACAATTACGATTTATCAAGAGTTTCTCCTTAATTATATTAACAGCATTTTCTTTTATTTAATTTTCTTAAAAAATTTCTTACGTATGTAATGTCATATGTTCTCTTGTTAGGCAGTCGTGCATCTGAACTAAGCCATCAAGTTGGCTCTTTCCCTGTTTTGTTTCTCGTACATAAAGTCTATGATCTCTTATAAACTGTCTGGGAACATCGCCCTGATGTGAATTTGGATTATCGATCATATTGATCCTGTGTATGATTGTATCTAAATTCGTAATAACTCTAAGATATCTCACAATTAACTGCGGGAATCATTCATGATTTGTAGCCATCAAAAGTGTATAATATACTCATAGATTTCTCTATCCCATGTTGTATCCTTACCTAATCCTCCTGTTCCTGCATGTTAAGAGATGCGACTTCCCAGTCATTTTCCAACTTCGAAGCCAGATGGCAAATCAGATTATTCAGAAGCAGTCGTATTCAACTCAAGATAATCTCAAGAAAATTCAGTTACTTATGTTTGTTTTCCAAAAACTTTAAAATTTTGTCACTCTTTTTCAGGGAAAAAGTGAGAGAGTGCAAAACTCTCAAGCTACTCAATTGTTTGTAGAAAGCCCCCCTTATCTTTTCTACAGCCGTCCCAGGAAGGATAGAATAATCCATTCATATACGTATATCTCATGCTTTTGAGCCTGTCCCAAGCAAACATGCCCTACTCTACTACTTCACTTGGCTACAAAGACAAGAAAGACCAACTCACCTCATCATCCATAATATTCACCCTTACACCTTGTACTTGTCCTACAGGCCACAAAAACCTTACAAAAAGTGAATGTATCATTGAGATTTGAGAGGCAATATATCTATCTGTGTCTTCAAATCTCTGGCTGGGTTCATAAAAGACCAAATTCTCCAAGGTCTTCGAGAAATCATGGCTGAAAAAGCGATGCTCGGGGAACTCATGAGCAAAAGGAAAAGGTGGAGAGATTTATGAGGTTTGATCCCCACAATTGGATAACTTTGTTTGTAGATAGATAGATGGTGGAGTTTCTATCATCACACTTTTTAGGGGAAGAAAAGGTTTGAGGGCAAAAAGTTCATACAAGATCTGAAAGAGGAAAGTTTTTTGGCTGCTTAGTACTATTCACACAAGCAAGTACAAGATCACGCTCCGAAAAAAGAAAAAAAAACATGTAATCACTCTCTGACTTTTTCCTTTTTTTGGTACCATCTTAAACGAACAAACTGAAACACTAAGAAAACGATAATTGGGGAAAGCCAAAAACATCCCGATTGGAAAAATGTAGAAAGCCTCCTGCAGTCGTTGTCAACGTTGTCATGTCATTAAAGCCGACGTGTTTTACCTTCCATAATTATGATCGGTTTTTGTCCACAGCGAGAGACGGAGACCCAAATTAAACAAAAAATGTAGAAAGCCTCCTGCAGTCGCAGGAGAACTACTCCCACGCTAGGGAGAATAGAACATTTTTTTCGCTAATGACCATAGCGAGGGCAACAGAGGATTAGGCGAGAAGGAATATTAGGGCCAAAGTCATCGGACTACCAAAGCAACCTACCCAGCTCTCCCTCAAAGCGTTGAAAATGGAACAATTGATTGAGAGTGTTTTAGATTCGAAGATTTTGCAGCAAAGAGAAGATTGGAGTTCTGCGATAGTCAGAAGATCAATGATAATGATTGAGATCCCTTCCGGATTTTATTGTCCCAAGCCCAAGGACCCCAAAATCGGAGCCATTCAAGAGAGAGATCTAAGCATTCAAATTTTTGAAGTTTTGTGTGATAAGACAATGAGATGAACTGATGAGAGCCGTAGAATTAAAATTGAGTGGTCCGGATTTCAGGATCCTTAGGTTTTGAACACAAATATCCAAAGTAAATCTCGATCCAGCAATGATAGAACCTAATAAATAGACAACCCATAAGTAAAAAGACCATAGCTAAACTCATGGTTGGGCTCGTCCATTGTCGGTTGACTAGCAATACAGTGGTGCGAAAAAACCTGCGTTATAAAACCATTATCCACACTAACATTTCATTAATGACCACATCTCTACTAATTAATAAAATTCATTGTCAACCAAAATCTTATGAAATTACCAATTTAACCTTCTAATTAAAAGAGAACATGAATAAGAAATATGAGGCACAACTATAATTTCACACAACTGAATTATACAGTTTTTTTTTCTTCAAAGCATCACCTACATGTAATCCTAACATATCTCTAAATAAAAAATAAAAAAACTTTACACTCCCACATTCTCTATCACTCTCTTCCTCTCTCCTATTTCAAAAACAAAAATAAAAAAATTTCTCACACACTTTGTGTGTGCCTATATGCTAGTTACTTATTAAGCAAGGTTTGTAAAACACAGCCAATCAACATCTCTATATAAATACTTGTGAAGCAATTGAACAGAGCTTGAACAAATTATAACTTCAAATGTGAAAAAGAAAAACATACAGAATAGGAAGTCCCTCAGTTAGCCCACAACACATCCGAAAAATGAAGCTTTTATTCGCAAATAGATGGCATCCCGATCAAGTTTTCCATCTTCTTAAACAAAGGTTCGAGCAACAAAAGTAAACAAGTTTTCCTTTATAGAATTTTGACTATAACAGACAGGAAATGGAGGAGACCGCAGCCTCAGTCTGCAAGCACCTTTTAGAGGTTGTCAAAGTTTACGGGTTCCCGCAAATACCTCTCCATCTGGCGTGCCCGAGTCTTGATGGACATGTCAAATACCTTCTTATCAAACTCTATCACGAGCCCACCCAATATACTAGGATCAATCTAGAGCGTAAAACAGAGAATCAGATTTCCATCCAATGTAACAGCGATTTGTGAATTAAAGAGCAGGCGGAAAGACCACTACTTACCTTCTGTTCAAGAATGACCTTCTTCCCTTGTCCAATTAATTCCTGCAGTGTCTCCTTCAATTCTTTCTCCTCTTCAGCAGGAAGGGGCTGATCACAGTATAACAATTAGACAGGAAAATATGGAGTAAAATTTATGTTTCATCATTCTGTATTTTTTTAGTCATATAACTTTCCCTCTGCCCTGGCAGTAGGTCCTCGTTTACGCAGTCTGTTATGCTCGTAAGAAAAAATAAATTTACCATTTAAGGACTACAACTTACAATGACAGATGTGACAATAGCTTTCACTTCTCCCTTATGTGCCATGGTTAACTCCGCAAATCTCTTTGATATGGTTTCAAGGTTCCTTAGCCTCCCATTCTGAGCCAAGACAACTAATAGAAGAAAACACAGATGCATGAATAAATAAAATAATATATATTTATGTAGATACATTTATATTATATATATATATATATATATATAGAAAAAGGTCGTACATTTACCTCTCCCAGACCCTGCGTAAAGCGGGAGCCTTGTGCACTGGGTACGACCTTTTTATATATATATATATATATATATATAGAGAGAGAGAGAGAGAGAGAGAGAGAGAGAGTGAGAGATGAAGGGACGAGAATTCAGATATAAAAACAAAACATGTCGACTCTGCATTTCAGCCAAAATAAGGGAAAATAAGCAACCATGAGAAAATTCCAAAGAAAAACAAGATTAAAGTTGAGTACAGATCAAAGAGAAAAAAAATTTAATTTGATGAACATGCATGCATACACGATAGAATACCTTCAGCGAAGACAGTTATTAAAGCTATAATGTGAATAGTGCATTGCACTTGCACATACACGTCAAAATCTTACTAAAATAGCGGTCAAGTTTTTAGTGTTCATATAAAATGCAGATAATTATATTTACCGACGTTCAATTCCATATGAACAAGTCCTATGTCTGGCTACAGGTGATAATAATAATAGCAACAACACAAACAACAATGATATTAATTACAATAATAACAAATAACAATCCTTCAAAGTGTAACACAAGACGTTTTATCCTCTCAAGAGTCAAGTAGAAACAATTTACAAAAATCAAAATCTGAACCCAAACTCATTTTACAGCTGCTAACACATCCATTGTATATTCA